GCACAGGAGGCACAGTGCTATTTTAAAAATTAGCTTTTTTTACAAACTTATTTTTACAAGGGTAATGTATAATTACAAATATCTGAAGAATTCATACACTATATACAAATCTGGAAATGCAGAAGCCAGAGGTCTCTCTCAAGCCTGCTGTTCAGAGACCCTCGGTAATGCTGTCTTCTTGTTGGTGCGGCATTAAGGATTAAGCCCAGGGTCTCCTGCATGCTAGGCTGCTAAGCAAGCGCTCTACCACCGAGCTATGCTCCCAGTCCTAAATTTTGAGACAGGGTCTCATTAAATTGCTCAGGTTGGCCTTGAACTTGTGATCTTTCTGTCTCAGGCTCCCAGATAGCTGGAATTAAGGCAAACACTATTGATTCTAACTTTCGTTTTTCATGTAAATTTTTTTCCCCTTGGTGGGGCATGAATTTATAATCTTTCTGCCTCAGCCTCTCAGAATGCTGGGCTTACAGGTACTGTATGGCTGGCTTGAAAACTGATTTTCTAAGCAAACAAACAAGGTGTGGGTCATCAACGGAGGTTTGGTTATTTCCACATAAGATGATCTTAACACCTATATACTTGAAAAGTTGATCCTCAGGCCACAGAAGTGGCAAAGTAGGATCAGAAGTGACTTCTGGAAGACATTAAGCATTACTCTTGCTGTGGCAGCATGCAGAGGCAGAGTTACCAGCCATCCTTTGTATTTCAACTCTTTCTGAACCCAAGGTTGAAGACCCATTTTCTGATTCTATCCCAGATAACACACTTGTGCCAATATGATCAGCAGAGCTACTTGCCTTCAGTGGAATTAGGTAAAACTGCATCCCTCTGGCAAGTGCCGTAAGCACGTCAGTCAGCTGGGGGACCTCCCGAGGAGAAGGCTGCACCTGGTGAGCACAGCCACCTGCCCCAGCCCACTGAGAGGCCCTGAGGAGCAGACTGGCCCTTTCTGAAACAACACAGGACCATCACCCCACCCGGCTCGCCTCCCTCTGGGCAGGGCGAAGGCTCTCAACATGCCCGGTACCTTCTGGGTCCTCCTCACCCCGCTCCACTCCATCCTTCAGGCTCTGCTCACTGAGGTCCGCCACGATGCCACTGGTGTGCTTCTTCCCCTCCTCGTCACCCGACTCCTCAGACTCGACCCGCCTGTCGACTGAACCCACACATGTCAGTAAGAATGGCATCTCCTTTGCGTGACTCTCTGAGGAACACACAAGATACTAACACACAGCCGTGAGTCAGCAAGACTTTGCTCAGAAATGGTGGCCGGACTCAGTCCATGAACTTCTGAGTCTCCTGTGTCCCAGGCACCATCTGAGGCACACAGCAGCAGGGATAACTGGAGGCAGAGCAGAGGCTGCGTGGACATTTAGGTGAGTGACACCCTGTCCCCATCCTTAGTGGGCTGAACTGCCAGGTTTTCTGAAAGCCTGGGGATACTCTCTGATCACAGGAGTCCGGGGGCACCACGTGGTGTGGGGCCTCCTGGGTAGCCCTCAAGTTTGGCCTGGCATCCACCTCAGAGGGGGCACGGCGATCTTCCCGCCACATACCTTCATCCACGCTCCACTATCCATTTGGCCAAGAAAACCAGCCCAGTTCACAGGCCCATGTTCTGAAAGAAATCAAGACTAACTCAAATCAGACTGTGGGCAGGAAGGAGCTTAATGAAAAAGAATAATGTGCCAAGAGCGCCAATGCCCCACATGAAGGTTACTGATGTCAAACGTCACTGGACATAATGTTATTACCTCAAAGCTTTTAAAGGCTGGTAGAGAAGTATTTCAGTTAATGAATAAGGCAGTACTAAAGATGGCAGTTTGGTAAAAATTCTTTGGCAAGGCTGTTAAGTAGTTATCCTTTTCCATAATTTATTGTGACTTCTCTGGAAGTCCGTCTTGAGGACTGAGGGCACTAGCATATTACTTGGAATTCTCAACCACCGTGGAAGCGTTTTCCTTCTGGACTGTGGCTTAGCTCCAAGGAAGCGTGCCCCCGGAGCGGGGAAGTCCCACTCATCTTTGCGTTTCTTGCTGTGCCTAGCAAATCACATCCAGCAAAGAACTGCTGAATAAAACAAATCTTTCTAAATTCTACCTCCAAAATCTACAAATCCATTCCTTCTTTCCTGACCTGGCTTGGTTACTTATTACCCAAGGCCCATGTTCCTGCCTTTCCTGCTCACCGGCTTCTCTGTGGTCTCTTGCTCATTTACTTTATTCTCTAGCACCAGATAATTTGATCTGATTCTAAAGCCAAATCTCATCTGTGTTTTCAAAGATATTTCTGAGATGCCAATGGCTCTTCTGAGTTTGCATCTCGCCTCTAGAGACACAGCTCTGGCAAATAACTTCCTTTTCCAAGCCTCAGTCTCCTCATCTATAGAAGGGCACTAGTAGTGCCCATACCCGAGAAAGCTACTGTCAGGATTAAGTCAGAAAAGTCACAGGAGTAGTCAGCATGTGCATAACATGCAGGGCTTTCTGTCGTGAAGGTTCAGGGAATGTGGGCTCTGGGCCTGGCCCTGAGCATTCCATAGGAGGGGGAGGATGGGGAGCCAGAGGGCTTGCACATCTATTCTGAGGGCAGCACAGGGTCTGGATCATGGGACAGTGGATCAGCATGCAAGAAGGTGACAGTAGAGCGCTGGGTATGACAGGCTGGCAAAGACGGGAGATAAAGTTACCACAGAAGAGGGAATGTCTGAGCTAAAGTATTGGCAGTGGGAATGGGGGCGTTGAAGGTTTGGAGCTACTGAAACAGTGGAAGTGTCAGATCTGGTAATGACATGGGTGGGAGTGGAAGAGAGAAAAGCCTGGCTTTGTATTTGCCCTTTATCAAGAAACGGAAACAGCAGAAGGAGGACTGTGCTGGGGAGTGGAGGAAGAGGTAGTTCTTTGCTTAAAAAGATGCAAGGGTCTCCACACCTGCTGCTAAGTGCAGGGTCCTGAGTTAGATTCCCCACGGCGGGGGTGGGGTGGGGGGGGTGCAAGGGTATCAAAGGCAAGGACCCTAGGTGTGATGCTCCCTGCCACTGGCCACTCATCATATATGACTGTCACTCTTGGAAAAGTCTCCTCCAAACCCTTTGCCTGTGACTGGGTTTTCTTTATCTGCAATAATATTTGATTACCCTCACCCCACCTAGCCCCAACTTGGTTGATAGCTAGTGATTCTTCAAGGTCCAGCTCAGAGCCACCAGCACCACCTGAAGGCATCCAGCCCTTCCTTCTGCACCCTCTCTCCTAGCTCAATGTCCTTCTTCCTCCTAACTTTTCACAGGAGACTGACTGCTATACTGTAGGTTTGTACCACTCACCCAACCGCTGGAGGCACAAACATCTACGCGCTGAAAGACATGACTGACTCTCATCGGGGACAAGTATGTGTATGCCTGAGTCTTTACATGCATGAAATGAGCATGCAAATATGTATACAATTATAGGAAAATACGTTTACATGTATATATAATACATAGACATACATACAAGTACGTAGTAACGTAATAATTCCATCAAGTGGAAGAGGAGTAAGACAGCTGAACTGAGTCTTTTTGGGACTATAACCCGGCAATCACTCACTGCCTTGTACAACTCGATCTCCGGAGCTCCTTGTCATCCCTGCGTCACAACCTACTCGCTTTCCACAGCGGACCCTTCTCCGCCCCCGCCATGTAAACAAGCAGCAGACTCTGCAGGTCTCTGCACCCAGAGCCTCAGTTTCCCCGCGATCTGACAGAGCTGCCCCCTCCCCACCTGTCAATCTCCGGCGTTCTGGGCGAGGCTCCCACCGCGCCACGTCGCCGTCGGCCCCCGCCCCCGGTCGGCTCACAAAGCGCCCTCCCCTCCCCTCGACTCCAGTTGCCGGGCCGCTGCCGCCCACGGACCGGGATGCCCGGGTCCGAGCCGCCCCCGCCCCGCAGAGCCCAGAGGGCAGCTGTCAGAACTCAGCCGATGTGGTCGGAGGTGGGATGCCGAGGACCTCCCGGGCAAGGGGCCGTGGGGGCCTGCTTCTCCCATCCGCCACTCCCGGGGGCCCGCATGGGCCGCTCACCCTCCATCATCTCCTGCGACTGTTGCTGCCCCGCGCCGCGCTCCGCCGCCATATTGGCTGCTCTTCCCCTTTCCGGAATTTGTCGCCTCACGGCCCTCAGCCAATCAGATCTCCCGGCTCCGAACCAGTCAGCCAATGAGGCCCCGCGCAGCGGCTCGGGCCGACGCGCCTGGGCAGAAGCAGTGCCTCACGGGAGTCGTAGTTCTCCAAGAGGCCCGCCCCCGCCCCGCCCCACCCCCGGCAGGTGCTCCAAGGACCGGCAGCGTCCGGCAGTACGGGTGTTCTGGGCTTGCGGGTTCACGTCTGTCCGGTGCAGCCCTCGGAATCGTGGAGGGGTCGCGGCCGGGCGATCTCTCGGCGTGCTGCAGATGCAGCCAGTTGCACGTGCATCTCCGACCTCGGGAGTCTCGCTGCCCTGTGTGCACCATAGGCCGGACGGCCAGAGCGTTCACGTCTCCCGCCCCCGCGCGCGGATTTACCCGTGAGAAGGGCCGCCCCCAGTGGCAGCTTAGCGCTGGGCGGGAGGCGCTGCAGGCTGGCTCCAGGGCGCTCGCTGGTCGTTCTCAGCCCACCAGGTGCTGCTTCCCGCCCCTTCTTTTGAGGACGTGGCCACCGGTAGGCGAGCCGCGCTCTGCTCACCGCCTATCCCGAGGCGGGAGGAAACGGCGTCCGCAGAGCCACAGGGCGGAGGCGCCGATGTTAAATGGCGCCTCTGAGGCGCCGTAGGGGGCGTCCGGTGCGTCCCTAGCAACCGTTCGCGCGGGCTCCATGGCTAGCCGTCCCGAGTCCTACCCACAGGTATTCGTGGTTGGCCTGCATTACCTGTCAATCATTACTAGTTGTTCTGCGATTGGTCCATGCTGTAGAAGCGCGAGTCGGTTTCCTCGGTCTTGTGAAGCGATCTTGGGTCTCTGATCCTCCCCAGCTCTAGGTGAGGCCCTGGGGCTCTGGAGCGGTAGCGGAGGGCTGCAGCTAAGGACGGCTGGTGGCCCTGTGTGCCGGCCTAGGGGCCCTGCCGCCTGACCTTTGCCCGAGGAGCCACGCCCCTCGCCCAGCGCGGGCGCCGCGCGGCGGATGGTTCCTGCCGGGCGCTCAGTCTTCTCCCCTGCATCAGTCGTGAGCGGTTTGTCCGTCTGTTCGTTGTCATTCTACTAGGTGAGGCGGAAGAGAGCCACGTCCTGCGCGCGCTGCAGCCGGTCCGCGCCTGCTGAGATGAGTGAGCGGCGGCGCTGCTGCTGCTTCGCGGCCGCTCCCGGGGAGGCCCCGTGCTCGCGTGGGCTTCGGCCTTAACCTTTTCTTCACTGCCTTTTCTTTTGCCTGAGCCAAACTTGGGATGCTGTGTTGGCCCCTTTTACCCACCACGGTGTCCCCACGCAGCAAATCCAGCTAAGTCTAAGTCGATTTTTCTTTTATTCGTCCCTTCTCTTCATCTTTCTACCATGGTCTGAAGGACTTCACAATTTCGGGCCCGAGTTACATATTCTTTCCTTGTCCCATCCTTGCGCCTACATTGCCCTGGAATGATCTTTGTCAAATTCATATCCGGTCATGTTTAAGTTTGGAGTTCTTGGGGCCGGGGATTTAGCTCAGTGGTTCCGGTGCCTGCCTCGCAAGCGGAAGGTCCCGAGTTCGATCCCCTATACCAAAAAAAAAAAAAAAGTTTGGAGTTCTTTAAAATTAGTCTTAGGGATAAAATCCAGATTTAAAGAAAGAGAGATTGAGTAACTTTTAGGAAAGGAAACTTTTAAGATATTGTCAGGTCTTCTCAAGATTTGGAGCACTCCCCAAACACTTGGGTATACTAAGTCATTGTGTGAACAGAGCGGACCAGCCTCGGGGGCTCTTGGAGTTGAGCTCTGTTTCTGTAGGCCTCTCTCCACCTCCTCTCCTGTACATTGTCCTGCGTCTGCCTGGAAGGCTCCTTTGCCCAGCTGTGCTTGGCTCTGCAGGTGTCGCCTCCAAGGGTGTCTGGGAGGTCCCCTTTGTGCCTCTGCTTCATCACAGAAGCCATTATGTGTGTGTTCATCAGGACGGCTTGATGCTAAGAGCTGTGGGCTCAGGCTGGCTCTAAGAGTGAGGAGAGAAGCACTTGGCCTCCAAACCTCAAGTCTAGAGGAAGTGAGGTTTTAGGGTGGACTGATTCAGTAGTTCACAAGTTTCCAGGTCCTTACCATTTTCTGTTCTACTGTCTACTGTTGGCTTCACCCAAGATTGATTCTGTTCTCTGTTGTACACAGGCAGCGGAAATAAATGGAGCTGTTTATTCCTAGCTTTTATCTGGTGGGGATGTAAGATTGCTTCCAGATATAAAAAAATTATTCTGAAATTGTAGGCCTGGACTTAACCGTAGGCATTTCTGGTTAACATTTGAGTCAAAATTAAACCTGTGAAGAGTGGAGAGATCCCTGGGCATGTGAAGCCAGCCTCTGTGCTCTCAGAGGCTGGGTCTGTCTGCCAGGGCATTAGTGGGGGCTCTGCTCCGTGGTGCTCAGTTGGCTCATGTGACCTCTTGCAGCACAGGAGCCACCGGGGGAAAGGGATCAAACTTTCCTGCTGGCCTCCCTCCGCATCCCCATTGTAACCTTCCTCCCTGTACACCATTTTAAACTTTAAAAAAAATTTTTGTTTTTGGTACCTGGAATTGAACTCATGACCTTTTGCTTGCCAGGCAGGCGCGGTGCTGCTGAGCTACATCCCGGCCCCAGCATACCATTTTAACTGTCATTAAAGTAATTAAGCAGCCCCTTCTTGCCCTGTGCACTTCAGACTGTATCTTCTCAGAAGACAGCTTCCCTGCACTTACCCTCCTTTCAGATTTCCTCCCTCCATTTTATTAGTAACCTTCTGTAACATTGACAGTGTATTCTGAGGAGTTGTATTATGCTTTGTACAAATTAAGGTTTAATAACATGGTATTCTGGTGTTCTTGTCATTTTTCTTGGGCTACGTGTCTTTAAACTTTGTAAATGTTAAATTACTTGCCTTTAAAAATTGTTCTGTGTCTTCTTTGTTGGTTACATATATGGTATGTACAAATACCTTATCCTAAACTACAACTTGTTCTCTCCTTGTCCCCTTTTGTGGTGTAGGGCAGTGGCCTTGGGCTTGAACCTGTGCTGTACCATTGAGCTGCTTCCACCATCCCGCTTAGTTTTCTTACAAGAGATAGACTCTGCCAGAGTGGCTCAGGCTGGCCTTGAACTTTCGATCCTATCTCAGTCACCTGCGTAACTGGCACCGTAGGCACACACCACTACATTTAGCCTCATTTCTTTTTGTTTATGGTATTTCTTATGGACATGTGGTCTCAATTTTAATGTTAACTTTATCAATCTTATTTTATAGCTAGAGCTTTTTGTTTCTCACTTAAGAAAACTTTTCCTATCCAAAATCTTACAGATAGTCTTTTGTATTTTCTTTGTCTCTTAACTTTGCTCTTCATATTTTCATCTTTTGTCTGTGTGCATTTTTTTTTTTTTTTTTTTTTTGGTACCGGGGATCGAACTCAGGACCTTGCACTTTCAAGGCAGGCAGTGGAACCACTGAGCTAAATCCCCGGCCCTCTGTGTGCATTTTGAATTATTCAACTATATCTTCTAGTCATTGCATACAATCTTTCCAGCTGTGACTATTTGCCTATTTTATCCACCTATTGGCATTTTCTTTTTCTTTCTTTTTTTTTTGGTACCAGGGATCAAACTCGGGTCCTTGCACTTGCGCAGCAGGCGGCGAAACCACCAAGCTAAATCCCCAGCCCCACCTACTGGCATTTTAAAAGTTAAATTTATTGAGATATGGTTTTATACACTGACAAGGACCCACCCTGAGTGTGGAGTGCAGTGAGTTTTGAGATTTATGTACAGCCCCGAAGTGCATGCCTGAGAGCATTCCTAAAGCATCCCTCTGTGCTGGTTGCCGCTGCCCTCCATGCTGTGGGCCCCAGAGGCCCAGACGGCTACTCCGGGTTTGTGTCAGTGGATCCCTCGGTACTTAGTGTCTTGTGCCTGGGAGTTGGGCACAGCCCAGTGGGGCCGAGGTGCATCTGTATCTGTGTGTGTCACAGCGCTTGGCTTTGCACTGTCACGTGGGGTTCCTTTGGTGGATAGACTGCCACTTGGCCTTCTGTTCTGTTGATCACAGACATTTGGATCACTGCCTTGGGAGCTACTGTGAATAGGCTGTTGTCAAACCCTTGTAGGTTCTGTGTGGACATGTGCATTTCTTCTCTCTGTCCTGGGGTCATTGGAAAACTGCTTTTTATTTTATTTTTTTTTGGTACCGGGGATCGAATTGGGGACCTTGCGCTTGCGCGGCAGGCGCCGAAACCACTGAGCTAAATCCTCGGCCCAGCAAACTGCTTTTTAAAAATAATTATTATCATTATCATTATTATTTGCTTTTTTGAGACAGGGTTTCATTGTTTAGTCCAGGCTGAGCTTGAACTCACTGTGTACTCTCTTGAATGTGTGGCAGTCTTCCTGCCTCAGCCTCCCGAGTGCTGGGATTACAGGCGTGGGCTATGACACCCACTGGCAAAACTGCTTTCCGAAGTTGGTGTTCTCCCCACTCAGTTCCTCTCTTTGATGATGTAGTTTTCTGGTGCTCCATGTCTTTGCCAACAGTCTGTTTCCATTCTCGTACGCTTTGGCCCCTCTAGTGGCTGTCTAAAGGGCACTCACTGTGGGTTCAATCGGTGTCACCAAGGAAGGAGGATGGATGCTCAGTCACGCGCTTGTCACTTGCCTCTGGTGAAGTGTCTCTTCAAAACCTTTGTCCACTCTTTATTTTTTATGATTTTTAAAATAATATTTTATCCTTCTATTGGTACATCTTAGGTATACAGTACGTTCACATTTATCATTGGGTGCTTGTACCTGTACCTGATATATCTTGGTTCTTATTTTTTCCCCCATTACCTGTGCACCCTTCACCCCCTCCACCCTTCCCTATTTACATAGATTTCGTTTCCATTTCTTTTCGTCTCATAATTTTTCCTTTCCCTTCTTTCCTTTCTCCCACTCTTTAAAGCTGGGGTGTTTGTCCTCTTGCCACCTACTTGTGAGAGTCCTGTGTTCTGGCCACACGCTGTTTGCCAGGTGTAGATGAAGTGAGTATTTTCTCCTGTTTATGCCTGTCTGTTCCCTTTTTGAGTGGTGTGTTTCACAAAGTGATGGGTTTATTTTTTATTAAGTGTTTTTTTATGGTTCATGCTTTTTGTGTCTTCCCCAAGAAGAGGTCAACACTGAAGATTTTTCTCTCAGTTTGTTTGTTTTTTTGGTACTGAGGATCGAACTTGGGACTTTGTGCTAAATCCCTGGCCCCTCTCAGTTTTTTTTTAGAAGTTGTTCTGGACTGAATCACGTCCATGTTCCTGTTCTGAAGTCCTGACCCTGGCACCTCAGAACGTGACCTTATTTGGAAGTGAGGCCTTTGGGGAGATCATGACTGAGGACGAGGTGGCCCAGCAGCAGGGTGGGTCCTCATTGATGAGACTCTGTCCTCAGGAGGAGATGGCACGGAGAGGCAGACGCACAGGGAGGAGTGTGACAGTGAGGCAGAGACCGGGGTGACACAGCCGTATGCACAGGGCACCAGAGGTGTCCGCAGAAGCGAGGAGAAGGCAAAGAAGGTGCCCCGGGGTTTGCAGGGGGCACAGCCCAGCTGATACTTCAGTTTTGGGTTTCTAGTGTCTGGAATTAAGACAACAGACTTCTGCTTGTGGACACCCAGTTTGTGGTACTGTTATTATAGTCCTAGGAAACTAACACAGAGGGCCAAGAAAGCAGTTCATTTCAAGTTAATTTTTACAAGGTGGCAAGAGCTAACAGGCAAAGTTGTTTTTCCCCCCAATATTCCACCTGTATCTAGAAAAGACTACTTGTTCTGTATTGAATTACCTTGATACTTTTTTTTTCTAACAGTACTGGGCATTGAACCCAGGGCCTTGCACATGCTAGGCAAGTGCTTTCCACTGAGGTACATTACTGTCTCGGGGCACCACTTCTGATTATACTCAAAGCCCGGAGACGTAAGTGCACCTGAGGACACTTAAGAACACAACTCCGCTCTCAGGGACATGCACACAATGGGTCACGTTTATCTCAGAATGACCTAACATACTCAGCCACGCGTGTGCAGCATGGCCAAGGTCACGCAGCAGGTGTTCTGTCTCTCCATGTCCCGCCAGCTGATAAGGCACTGTAACTGCTGTGAACTGCAGAGCACGGTCACCTTTGAGTAGCTGTTTCGCGTGAAGACAGGCAGCTCCTGAGCTCTGGGACTGCAGCTTCAGCTCTCCTGCTCTGATGCTGCCCTGATGCTGATGACTGACTCTCTGTGCCTTGTTCTTTATTGGGGATTAATCAGTTAACTCACAAAGCACTCTGTGGACTACACGGACACCTCCCGAGGTGCCCTTCCTGTTGTAGAGGCTCAGCCTTGCCTTGACTCACACCATACCATCTTTAAATTTTTATTTTGAGCCAGGATCTTGCCAAGTTGCTCAGGCCGGCCCTGAACTTGCAACCCTCCTGCCTCAGCCTCCTGAATAGCTGGGATTACAGGCATCCCATTACCCCCAACACCATGATAACTTTTATCAAAAATTTATTTCACCATACGTAGGTGGTTTTACACCTGGATGTTTTCTATGTTGCATATTTATTTTCGTGCCAATATGCTGTTTTGGATAGTGTTGCATTGTAGTTAAGTCTTCAAATCAGGGGCATAAATCTGCTAGTTCTTTTTCTTCAAAATTTTCTAGATTCTTCTGTGTTTTTTGCCTTTTTCTATAAAATTTAGAATCAGCTTTTTCAGTTTCTACAAAAAGCCTGCTGACATTTTGGTTGAGATTGTGCTAAAGTGTAGCTGAATACTCCACTGATTCCCTGATGACTGGAAATGGGATGTCCATTGAGGTATGCTTGGCTCCTATACATTTATTGGCCTGTTTCTGAAATTCACTGTGTTCTACTGTCTGTTTATTCTTTGAAGAAGTAGGGATTGAAACCAGGACCTTTTCCACTGAGCCATATCCCTAGCCCTTTAAAATTTTAAAATTTTTAACCAGGGTCCCACTAAGTCACTGAGTTGTCCAGGCTGGGCTCCAACTTGCCATCCTCCTGCTATCTCTGTGTATGTAGCTCTGTGGCGTGTTCTGATGCTGGTATTCCCGAAGGAGCTCTCAGCGAACCCTGCCTAAAGGCCCTTGTCTTGGGGGGTCAGTGCTGGCAGCCCCGGTGGGTGTGGTCAAGCCCTCAGACTCAGGGCAGGGGTGTGAGTATGGTCGCATAGTTATAACCAGGTTCACACCTTTAATTGCAATAGATTCACCCCTCCTGTCTTGGTACATTCATCTTTTTGATGACCTTGAAAGCCAGGATAGAGTGGAAGGCTGGGCTCCTTGCAGTGCCTCCTGGAACACAGTGGTGTCAGTGGGGCCACCCCCAGCCCCCCCTCTCAAGGCCTCCCTTGCATTAGGAAGGGCCTGTGCACCATGTGTTACCTGCTAGCTTGTTCAAGCATGGCTTTCCAGCGAGGCCACTCCTCAGCCAGTTCTCAGGTGCTGGTGTGGGGTTCCCGGGTAGGAAGAGGCTGCTGTGGGCCTTGGGAGTGGCTTGAGGCCGTTAGGGGGAGTCTGCCTCGGGTCTTGTGTGGTCACTTGCTCTTGACCTCGTGTACCCTGCGATGATTAGGTGGGGCCTCTCCTAGCAGAGGCCCTTTCTTCTTAGTGGCTGTGTCCAGTGCCTTGTGTGCACAGCACTGGGCAGTGTGTGTTTGTCATGCACATGCTTGCCAGCAGTTTGGAGCTGTTCAGTTTCTTGTGTGTGTGAGTGTGCATGTGTGACAAGTCCACACACACGAGTGCAGGTAAGTGCCCACACCTTGGTTTCCTGGCTGTAACTCTACTGCAGTTAAGGAAGGTGTTGCCATTGGAGGACATTCCACGAAGGGTGTGTGGGATTCTCCTGTGTTGCTTCCTTAAATCTGCATTTGAATCTACACTTGTATCAGAATAAGAGTTAAAAGCACACAGCTGCCTCCCGTGCCAGGCCCATCCAGCTGAAGTGGCCTGTCAGCTGTGGATGTGCTTTTGTCACCTGTGCTGGGGAGGCCTGCAGACCCAGTGAGCCGCCGTTCCTGTGGCATACGCATGGCTCTGGACCCTGGGCTCTTCCTATTCCTGTGGACCCTGCTTTTCCTCCTGGCCCCTCCCACTCCCTCTTTTTCCTTCTCACTCTAGCATGCCTTCCTGTTTTCCTCGGAAGGAGCTTCTTCACTGCAGCTCAGGCTGACTGACCAGGGCGGCATGGGGTGTCTTTTGGGGCTCAGTATAACTCAGCATGGTGAGGAGTTTGGTGGCTAAACCGCCTCTGTGCTCTTAACCTTTATTTTTCCAGGTAGGGGCTCGGCATCTGGCCTGCTGGCTCCCCATGGAAGACCCAGGCCCCCCGGCTGTGGACAAAGATGGCAAGTGCCTGTCTGGCAGTGTCTCTGTGCCTGCGCCTGCCAAGGGTCTGTCTGCACAGGCTGCCTCTGATCCCAGCAAGCCACTCTCGGCCCAAAGACACCTGAGCAGGAAGGATGGGCTCTCCAGGCTCTGCCAGAGCAGGATGACGCTCTCGGGTACGGCCTTCTCAGTGCTGCGGCACCAGCCTTGCAAGCTGAAAATGCAAGATCGCCGTTTCGTTGGTGACCTTAACTAGTTCTGAATTCCTGCAAGAGCAGTTGTTTTCCAAGGTGTTTGGGTGTGCTGCTGAGGACAGCAGAGCCCTTTCCTGCTGTCTGTGTTCTTTCTGCTGGGACCTTGGGCCTGCAGGTCCCTTTCTGCTGGGACCTGAAGTCACCTCCAGGGGCAGATTAGAGCAACTGCTGTTCTCACCCAGAGTGTGCCAGGACGCTGTCTTAGGCCAGGCTGCTTTCCTATCAGCTCAGAGGGTTTCCTGATCTGTGCAGCAGGGGTGGGTTTGTTACTGGGTGGTTTCTTTAGAAGCGGCTCGCCAGTCAGAAGTATTCCAGCTCCTTCTTGCGTCGAACAAAGTGTTGGATGAGACAACCCAAAAATGGTGCCAAAAGATTTATTTGAAAAATGCAGGGTGAATGGGTATGGGAGAGACAAGCCCTGCAGAGTGAACTTGGGCAGAACAAGAGAAAAAAAAGATAAAAGCAAAAATAAAAGTGCACCCTCCATCTGGGAACACAGCTTGGGCCATGGTGGGAAGTCAGGATAGCGGGCTCCCTGTGGCATCTTGTCTCTTTCATGCCATCCACATCTCGTGGGAGCCTGCGAGAAGTTGCCCATACAGGGTCCTGGGAATTATTTGGCACCATCCTGGGCATGTGACTTACTCTGCAGGTTAACCAGACCTGTGGATCCATGTGGGTTGTGTGCTTTGCCTGCATCAGAAGTGCACTCCTGGCTCTCCAGTGCTCACACTATGTCCTTCCTTCCTCAGAAGACAGATGGAGCTCCTACTGCCTCTCATCCCTGGCCGCCCAGAACATCTGTACCAGCAGACTGCGCTGCCCCACGGAGCCCGAGGATGGGGACCTGGCTGCACCCCTGGGCAGTGCATCCTGCTGCTCCCTGCTGCGTGGCTTGCCTTTGGGGTGCTCTGTGCACCTGCTTCCAGCCCCTGTGTCCAACCCCAACAAGGCCATCTTCACCGTGGACGCCAAGACCACAGAGGTATTGGCTTTGGGGTGGGTGTGGCCCAGCTGTGGATGTGGATTTGGGGTTTGTGCCTTAAACCCAGAACCTCAACTCAAAAGCCCAAGGTCCCGAGTTTGATCCCCGGTACCAAAAAAAAACACCACAAAACCTGAAGCCTCAAACAGAGGTGTGTGTTGTTTTGGGTGCAGAGATTGAACCCAGGACCTCATGGATGCTAGGCAATTGCTCTATCACTGAGCTACGGTCCTAGCCCTTTTTTATTGTTCACTCTGAGTCAGGATCTTGCCAAGTTGCCCAGGCTGGCCTTGAACTTTTGATCTTCCTACTTCAGGCTCTTGAATAGCTGTGATTCCAGGTGTGCACCACGGCACCTGGCTGGACTTTGTGTGTTTTATAAGTGTATCGGAAAAACATTTGATTCTACCTATGTAGTAGCAGAAGGATAAGAATTCAGAGAACTAAATATGAGTCAAATAGATCAAACTGACACTCCTCCCGGGGGGCGCGGTTCCAGGGAGGGTCACGTGTGAGCTGTCACCAACCCAACCTGCCCAAGAATGGTGCTCAGTGCTCTGTGAGGCGCCAGCGCATCGCGCATATTTGAGTACACAGAGCTGACGGAGGCAGACAGGAGTGGAGTTTGGTGTGAACGCCCATGTTTTCCTCGAAGTCCTGGTTGTCACATGCCCGCTATGGCTGGGGAAGGGTCCTGAAGGGCTCAGCACTGACTGTGTCCGGTGTCTGTGAGGTCGAGACACTGGGTGCAGTGTGTGTGTCGCCTCCTGAGACCCTGGGCAGAGAGCAAGGAGGCCCCGGTGGGAGGGGCTGGGGCTGACCCCGTGGCTCCTCCTGGGACTTAGAGAAGCTGCTGGTGACACTGTGTCCTGCTCCTCTATGCTCCTTCAGATCCTGGTTGTTAACGACAAGGCCTGCGGGCTCCTGGGGTACAGCAGCCATGACCTGATCGGCCAGAAGCTGGTGCAGTTCTTCCTGCAGCCAGACTCCGAGGTGGCGGAAGCCCTCAGTGAGGAGCACGTGGAGGCCGATGGCTATGCCACGGTTGTGTTCGGCACAGTGGTGAGCAGGCACGGTGGGGCCTGGCCCGGCTCCACAGCTGGAGCAGCATGCAGTGGGGAGGGCTCCGCCTTCCTCTCCCGGGCTTTGCCCTGATCTGCGCTGTTCAGGGCCCTGAGCACCACAGCTTCCTCTGTGAGAGGGGCGGCACCTTGAAAGGGAAAGCTCAGACAGGCCTGCACCGTGGTGGGACTGACAGGGCTCCCAGAGTGCCCCAAGCTGTGTTTGAGGAAGAGGTGTGGCCTGCGGTCCGCAGAGCTGCAGGCAGCACTCAGGATTCCCAGAAAAGCCATGGAAGGCTGTGACTCACTCCTGCATCTGAACCCACCCATCTCTTTGTCTGGTTGGTGGGTGGTGTGGCCCAGCCTCTTTCCCAGGAGAGTCTCGATCCTCTCACCTGTGCCGCGGGGGCCAACCTGAATGTGGATGTGAGCTGAGCTCCTAGGTGCCGAGGTCCGAGTCCTGGGGTGGAGGGAACTGGACAGGGCCAGCTGCACCTGGGAATGACTGGCTCAAGAGCTGACAACTGCAAAGAGAAAAACCACAGTACCGGACAGGCATTCGTGGCTGTTTAAAAATAACAGATACTGCTTTTTTCCCCTCCTAAATACCATGAAACTGAGTGGATTGGCCAGGGCTCACCTGGGGAATAGAACCAGTGATATATGTGAAACTCTAGTAGCGGATATATTAGGTTGGGTTGTGTAACCTGAGGCTAAATGGTCCCACAAAGGCCATCTGCAAGCTGGAGAAGGAAAGCAGTAGCTGCTTAGCCCAAGATGCTGGAAGCCCTTGAGCAAGAGGCCCGGCGATGCGCCCTCTCTCCCAGGCTGCAGGGCAAGGGGCCCTGGATGGTTGCTGGTGCCAGTCTGTGGCAAAGGCCACAGCAGAAAGTGCTGCTACTCGGGCCCCTTATGGCTATGCATGCCCCTCTTCTGCATTTCACTCCATGCGGGTCCCCAGCCCACGGAGGACCCTGCCCAGGCAGGACAGGTCTTCCCCACGCTGCCCACTGGCCACATGCCGGAGGGTGAGTGTCTCTGGGAACACAGACACCCAGGCCTGTGCGCTGCCGGGTTGAGTTCACAGACATGCGGAAGCAGGAGGGCCTCTTGGGGCATAGGCTCCCACCGTGCTGGTCACTCAGGTCCTCCACGCTGGAGCAGCTGCCTGTGTCTGCAGGTAGATATCGTCAGTCGCAGTGGGGAGAAGACTCCAGTCTCGGTGTGGATGAAGAGGGTGCAGCAGGAGCGTGGCCTGTGTTGTGTGGTGGTCCTGGAGCCCGTGGAGAGGATCTCGGCCTGGGTCGCCTTCCAGAGTGAGGTGAGTGGGTTTGCATCTTGGGTGTATGCAGCTCTGCCTCGGGGAGCCTTGGGAACCCCAGCAGCAGCACTTCAGCCAGATCTCTCCTTGCCTCTCACCTGGGGAAGACAGAGCGCCAGGTGTCTGCCCCTTAGTAACCATCTATCACCTGTGCCTTAGCTGCTTCATCTATAAAATGCAATCTAAACCTAACCGCCCATGGGATTGTTTTTATATTTGAGTGAAATTACATATGTGAAACCCTCAGAGCAGTGGTGGGCATTGCAGACAGCTCGCAGCCATGAGCTGGGCATGGTAACTGAGGAGCCTAGGTGTGGGCCAGGGCCTCTGAGGAGCACTGGAGACAGCCAGCGGCTTTCCTATCTGGAGCAAGAGGGACACCGTGCTGTCCTGGTGAGAGAGCACATTTGTGTGCCTCATGCACTTCTGATTTGGAAGTCATGAAAATGGCCTTGCTTTTAGCTTGCAGACGCTGAGGTTTAGTGAAATTGAAAGCTAAGGAGTGTGATCCTTTTATTGTAACACTCATGATATGGGCTCTTTTCTAGGGAACCATCACATCCTGTGACGATCTCTTCGCTCATCTCCATGGGTTTTCGTCTGGGGAGGACGTGGTTGGGCAGCACATCATAGACTTGATCCCGTCCTTGCAGGTCCCTCCTCCTGGCCAGCCTGTCCCAGAGGTAGGGCCTGCGCTGCCTGCACCTAACCCGACCACAGGGCTGTCCTGCAGTGGGATGTGCTTGAGGTGTGACTGTGGGATGGAGCCTGATGCTCTCTCGGCCACCTGCTCTTGTTCCCCCTCTTTGACATGGAGTAGGGAGGCCTGGCTGATGCAGGGTATCCCCTGGTGTTGGTTAGACCTCCCCACACAGAACCAGTGGGAGAGATGTGTACAGATAAATGAGGGGATCTGGAGTGGAATTGACTTCCACGATAATGCAGCAGAGAAGTCCCTGAGAGGCCATATGCAAGCTGGGATTCTGGGATGGCAAACGGCTGTTAACTTGAGGACCTACAAGACAGCCAAGAGGAGAGTCTTCAGCCGTGGTGTGCAGTCACTGCTCAGGTTCCTGAGTGTGGCTCACCCCCAGGCTGAAGGCGGTTGCCTGTGTTCAGGGGCAGGGCAGGAGAATGGATCCCAGCTCCAGGACATGACCAGTTCTCCTGACCTCTGCCAGTGTTCTTGCTGGGTCCCTGGCTGACCGGATGCTGCCATGAATACTGTGTGGTTGTCCTACTCGGTCTGCAAGACACATGCCAGTCTCCTCTCGAAGCACCTTCACAGACACACCCAGAAACAGTGCTTCCCAGCTCCCTGGGTCCACATGTGAAATCAGCCACCATGGCCCTAGGGCCAGCACGGCCGAGGCCTACAGCAGGTAGGGAGCAGAGGCCTGGGGTACAGGCAGTGGCTGTATCCTATCTGAGCTCTTGGATCTCCCTTTTCCTAGCTAGTGTGTGGCCTTCGTTCAGGGGACCCAAATGCTGTGGCTTTACCGATGTCACATCCACATCTGCAGTTAGCAGCTGCCTGGACTGAGTGTGCCCTGCTGCAGTGAGGGTGATGGTCCTTCCAGGATGGCCCAGGCCGTGGTCCTCAGACTCAGCCCCTGAGCCGTGGTTCAGGGTGTCACGCTTTCCAGGGAAGCTCAGTCCCTGCCCCCAGCCCTGGCACGCTGCACCCTCTACTCTGTCCTGAGGCAGTGCCACTTGGGCTGTTCAGCCAGCAGGAATCTGCTGCCCTATGCTGCCGTCTGACCCACAAGGTGGTGCATGTCCTGAAGATTTGTGGCAGAGCCCCCTGTGAGCTTGACCCCATGGCAGCAGGTGGAGCCAGCAGAGGGGATCTCCTTGGGGCTGGGGTCAGGGAATATGGACGGGACCTGGCCACGGCCTGCAGGGACAGCTGGGCCCCAAGTTCCGACTTCAGTGGGGTGCAGTGCTCTGGAGGAGGTGTCCCTGCATTCGAGGGGAGCAGAAAAGCCCTCGCCTCCAACAGAGCCCTGCAGCCCTCCGGTCTTGTGGGGTGGGGGAACCCATGAACAAAGCGGGGGTGCAAGGGCCTGGGTCCTGCTTACCAGCCTGAAGCCAGGGCCGAGCCTCACGTCTGGCCGGGAGCCTTGTGTCAGCCAAATGTGCCCGGACATGGCGCGCCTAGAGGAAGCAGGGGGAGCTTGCTTCACGCGGTAGGAGGAGCTGAGTGGCAGATGGGGACAATTAGGACACTAGGAAGCTGGTGCTTGGGAGTAGAGGAACAGGAGATGGGTGAAGGGCCAGGGCTACCCGCACAGATGGGCCTTGGGGACACAGTGCAAGACCAAGGCCTCTGCAAGGGTGGCACAGCACGCTGCCTTCCTCCCTCCACAGATGAGGCATGGACACAGGCCCTGGAGGCCGGGACACTGTGGTGGCTGACCAGAGCCCCGTCGCCTTGCTCCCCTGCAGATGTGTCCCCTCCCTGGCCCTTTCTGTGGCTGTGTCAGTGGAGCTGGGGTCCAAGGTGGCGCAGCTCAGTTCTGGCCATGTGATGAGCTGTCCGTGTCTCTTTCAGAACCTGGAGATTCAGAGGTCTGTTGGGAGAGCCAGGGATGGCACCACCTTCCCTCTGAGCCTGAAGCTGAAACCCAAGTGCGGCGGGGAGGTGGCCGAGGGTGAGGTGGCTCCCAGGCAGGGCTACTGGGCATCCGTGTGGGTGTTCTGCACCATCAGCGGCCTCGTCACGCTCCTGCCGGATGGCACCATCTATGGCATCAACCACAGCTTTGCACTGATGCTGTTTGGCTACGGGAGAACCGAGCTGTTGGGCAAGGTGGGGCTTCTGGCTGCTACCTCCCTGTCCGCTCCACGCAGCCACTGTGCAGGTGTCGCAGGCCCCTGTCCCTCCCCATGGCTGCCCAACACATGACTGGAGGGACGTTGGCCCTGGGGTGGGCACCCCTGCCCACAGCTCCTCAGGTTGTTTCCCTGGACTCTCCGTCGGGGGATGGAGGGAGCCCCGTTCCCAGTGGTTCTTGCTCTGGCCAATGGTCGAGGGCCTCAGGCTGCCCCAAGGGAACCTGACCTTGAGGGCGCAGCGTTTGGAGGTTGCTTGTGCTGCTGGCGCTGCTTCTTCAGGAGCACGGGCTGCAGGTTGGCGTGGGCCTCCTTTGGGGCTCTGAGGCCTCGCCACTCTGCTTCCTAGAACATCACCTTCCTGATTCCTGCCTTCTACCATTACATGGACCTTGCCTGCGACAGCTCTCTGCAGCAGCCTGACCTTACCAGCTGCCCAGACGTCGGCAGTGAGAACGGGTGTGGGGAGATGAGCTCCGACCCCTGCCAGTGTGAGACTCGGCCTCCTGCTCCCCCAGTGTGCCCAGCCTCACCTCCGTCCCAGACCAAGGGACAGAGGCTCCAGAGCGTGGGGGCAGGCGGCTGTCCTGGCCTGGTGTTCCCTGGGGCCAGGGCAGTTGTAGGTTATTCTTACAGACTGTCAGCGTGGAGGAGGGGACTAGAAAGTCCTCTAAGACCATGTCGCTTATGCCCATGCCTGAGACACAATTAGCTGACAGTCCCGTCATTGTAAGGAGAGTTTACATACCCTTATACAGCATAAGCTTGAATTGATGTAGCACAACAGCTTTGTTTCTGTGTTAAATATTCCTAGCGTATTTGTTGATCTTGTTGTTTGTCCCCATAATTCTAGTTGAGCACTGCAAGCCATTTGGATGAGGTTCCTGGACCCGATCTCACAAACTTGTAGATGGGTGGTTTGTGGAGGCAGTGTGAGTGCCCAGCCTCCTGTCCTGAGGGACCCCAGGCTGAGGGTGCCGGGAGGGTGTGGAGCCCACCGATACCCACAGAATCCGTGTCTGTGCTCCTGGCAGCCCCACGGTGCAGCTGAGCAGTGAGGAAGAGCTGGCAGCTCTGCTCGGAGGCCTGCCGCACTTAGCCGAGCTCTGCCCCAAGTCCTGGCCTGCTGGGGGTGGTCCTGGTGGGACCTGTGGAGCCAGGGAGCATGGCAGGGGCACGGGGCAGGGGACAGAGGCACCGAGACAAGGGGACCAAGGACAGATGTTAGCAGAAAGTGAAGTGTGCCCTTCGTGGAGAGTGCTCTCCCACGTACTGTCTCACACGCTGGAATGCAGGTGTCTGAATCAAGTGAGGTTCATTACTGGCCCCAGGGAGACCCCTTTTGTGAGTGCAAAAGGCTCTTTTTTTTTTTTTTTCAAAGGGCAAGTATTTTTTTTTCTTTTCTTTTTTGGTACCGGGGATCGAACTTGGGTCCTTGCGCTGCGAAGCAGGTGGCGGAACCACTGAGCTAAATCCCCGGCCCCAGAAGGCTCTTTTCTTAGATCCGAAGGTCGGTCTGGTGCTTGCTAGCGATCATGCCCTGCCGCAAGACGAAACCCTGAAGCTGGGGGGAAGCCAAGAAGTCTCTGGTGGAATGCAGATGGAGCTGGAAACTGGACGCTGTCTCCCAGCCGCCCGCTCCCTGCAGCCCTCGCCAGGGTGAGTCCTGCTGGAGAGTGGCAGGTTTTCGGAAGGTTGGGGCGGGTGGCAGGTGGAGGAGGCCATGTTCTGCTCTGGTCAGTGAGGACAGTAGCAGCTGCTGTGTCCACCCTCGATGACAGGGCCTCAGCTGCCCGTCTCAGTCCTCACAGCCTCCCTGAAAGGTGCCCGAGGTGTCACTGTCCATCTTATGGGCTATTGGGAATGCAGCAATGTTTGGGCAGATTTCAGAGAACTGATACTGGTTCTGGAGAGTTTTGAGACTCATTTGAAGCTGTTTTCTTTCTACATATTTTTTTCTTTTTTTTTTGGTACCGGGGATCAAACTCAGGACCTTACGCTTACAAGGCAGGTGCGGTGCCACTGAACTAAATCCCCAGCCCTCTTTCTACATTTTAAGTAAGGTACAGTGTACTATTAGAGTACAAGATGCTTCTATTAGGTAATTTGGAAAAGTGAGAATCAAAAGCTCATTCATTCTGTTTCCGTTACCATAGTCATGTTGTGCCTAGTGCTTTGGTGTGTTCCTTCCTGTTTTCTTCCTTTGAGAACATTACTTTCATGCACATGCTGTCCACGTCTTCCTGGTCCCCCCCGCCACTCCGCATGCTGGCCCTGGGTGCAGAGCTGTGGTCACAGTCCTGCCCTCGAGCTTCCTCTGTGCTGCGCCTTCTGGCTGCCTCCTCTGTTCCCCATTATAGTTCTGAGATTTACCCACATTGTTGTATTTTTCAGCTTTGAAATTGTTTTTAAAATATACAAATGTGTTTTTAAGCACAGAACAGTGGTAAAGTGAAATCCCCGTGACCCTCCCCCAACCTCCCTGTCCTGTGCCCCGCTCTTTCTCGAGGGCATGGCTGAGCAGTTAGCGCCTTCCAGACCTGCCTTCCTGTGCAGTTGCGTGTAAATGTGTGTTATGCATGTGTGTGCGTGCTCTTCTGTCCCTGGAGCAAGGCCAGGGGCCCTGTCTCTGTTGTCCTGTGTGTGGAACCTGTGTGCTCATTCCCATCCCTGGTCTTCCGAGAGCCAGGACCTCCTGGACGGCGCCATTGCTCTGGAATATGGCAGGTGCTTCCTTCATTGGCCTTGACTCCCCACCTTCTTCCTGTCTGCCTGTGGGATGTGCTTTGGACGGTGTAGGAGAAGCTTGTACTCTGTCTCTCCTTGCTGTGAGCTCATTGGCAGGTGAGGAAGGAGAGCGAGAGTCACCCAGGCTCACTTGTGCCAGCCCCAGCGCGTCCCAGGGCCGGTCTCTTTAGGCCCAGGGCAGGTGCATCTGGGAGTGGCCCTCTCCTTTCGTCCTGCACCTGGGGCAGCTGCTGCATGGCCCTCTTCTCGGTGTGGCTGGCAGGAGCCCTGGGGCCGCCGGGGTGGGTGCTGCTGGAGCCCAAGCGTGTGTTCCTCACCGCCTTGTAGGCTTCCAGTAGCATTTGCGGAGAAATCTTTGCTGAATGTGGATTTTATGGAAAATGTTGGGGAGTATTTTGTTTTTTACTGGATTACAAAATTTAGTCTTTTCTATTGCACATTTGTGGTGTGATATGCTTTGTACTTGTCTGTTGTGGTGTGATATGCTTTGTACTTGTCTGTCGTAGAGGGGCAGATGGTGTGGTCTCCTGTTGGCTCTTCTGTGGCCACTGGTGACACTGTCATCTGAATCCCTGTTCCCAGGGCAGACAGTGTCCCGGAGTGGCACTCCCTGACCCAGGACGAACGATCGTTGGCTACAGACCAGCAAAGTATCCCAGAGGGGCATGTGCCTGCCCAGGAGAAGCAGTCACTGTCTGAGAACCAGCAGGATGTCTCAGAGGAGAGCCCGCCCCCTCATGGAGAGTGGGGGTTGCCTGAGGACCTGCAGGACAGTGAAGAGGGAAGCCCTGCAGCCCACAGTGCATGGTCACTGCTCACGGACCAGCAGGTCATTGCTTCGGGGAGGGCAGAGCTGGTAGCAGCACAGACCCCCATGCAGGGCCTTTTGGGAGAAAGCAGGTCTGGATCAGTGGACACAAAATCATTTGTTTCCTGTGAAGACGCTGGTCCTCTAGTCCCAGCTGAGGACAGGAGCAGTGGTTTCAGAATGTGGGGCCTCCATCAGGAGGCTCAGCGGGCACTGACGGGTGCCAGCAGTGCCAGCCCTCAGGCCAATGCCACCATACCCAAGCCCCATGGTGCAGGGCAGCCAGCAGGAGGGGGGCTCCTGACCTGCCCCCACTACAGGAGCGAGTGGCTCCTACAGCAACCAAATCCAGACTTGGCACCCAGCCCCCCAGGGGTGGCCTGTGTCTCGTTCGGGACACCTACCCTGGATGAGCCGGGGCCGGGAGGGAGAGCTGACCATGAAGAGCTGCAGGTATGCTTGGTGAAGGAGCAGCTGTCCAGGTTGAGTTTTGAGGGAGCTTGGGGCATCTCCTGCCTGGAGCCTGTCCTCACAGGGGACTGGCCCTACAGTGCTCCCCTGTCCTGTGATCTGGGGGGCAGAGACCTGCATGGCAGCCACCTGGGCGGCTCCCCGGCGTGCTACGCTTTGGCCACTGACCTCCCCAGTGTCCCGGAGGCGGCGGAAGCCTGGGAGGCCGCTATGAACTCCTGCTCCTGGAGCCTTAGGGAGCTCCTGCTCCGTGATGAGATGGACGGAACTTCCTCCAATTGTTCCTGCGCCACGTCTGAACTTGAGGGGACACCCTCTCCCTCAGCAGTGCACTCTGATTTTGATGTAGATGTGCTCCACAGGCAGAGGCCAGATGGTCTGGGTGACCGGGAACGGTTTCTGCTGACTGGAACCTATTTTGACCTTGGCGAAGGTGGAGGACCCCATGAGAGCTGCCCAGAGCACAGGCCGACAGAACCGCCTGAGCTTTATTTGTCCCCTGAACGTTGTGAAGCCAGTGACACAGAAAGCCCCGACCGTGGCCTTCCTACTATGGACACCAGCCTAGAGGATGCACACCCGTCTGCAGAGGACCCAAGGCCGGATGCCTGGGTCACCTCTACCCCTGTGACGCCTGGGGCTGCCAGCCTATGTCTAGAGATCCAGGAGGGCACCTACTCGGGGAGCTGCTACCACCGAGATGGCTTGCGGCTGAGTATGTCCCCAGCTGTGGGGGGGGGGGGCACATGGCCAAGGGTCAGGGAGGCCCAGGGCCTGGGGGGGCCCTGCCTTTGTTAAAGAGTCACATGTTGTCCATGGCTCTCAGACCACTCTTTATGATAGCCAGGGAGGCCTTGCCAGGCTCAGAGATGGTGGGGCTTACGACCCTGAGGTCTGTCACACTGGAAAGCTAGGATTGCCGTTTGTTTCTCATCAGGTGTTTTGGGTGCGAGGCTTCTCAGGTCTTCCCCAAACCCCACTCTGTACAGGGCCTGAGGACCAGGCTGGTGCTGTCTGCCTTACTTTCCTCATTTCTTAAAAGGGCCGTATTATTTTGGCCAGCTGTTTCTACATCACAGTTTGAATTGTTGATTGCTATGGTTCTTTTCCTAAATTAAGAAAAAATTACATAGGTAAAAATAGTATTTGTAGAACTATTAGAAAACATGAACAAAAAAAATAAAATTAGCTACAAATGCTCTGCCAAAAACCAGCATATCCTAGGAGGCTACGTGAGGATGCACCGCATGTGTACAGAAATATGGGTGCGTCCTGCCGGTGTGCTGTGGCGGTTTAAGTGTAACATGGCTGTGCATAACAGCAGAACGCATTTGTGTGAATGGTCTTAACATCAGCTGAGCAGGTTCCAGTCAAGTTCCTGTCGCCTGAAGGCAGAGGGCTGCTCTGTCCTGGCTTTTCTGAACTGGGGCAGCCAGCTGCCTCCTGCAGGCGTCCTCTGCTCTTGGCTCCTGGCTGCCTGGCAGGCTCTGGTGGAGGTTTCCCTGCTGGTGCTGACAGCTTTTCTTCCCCTCCTTCAGGGCTGCTGGGTGGTCCTCAGGCTGCTCTGGGTGGCAGGCTTTTCGTATTAACGCTGTTGCCTAGCAGGGTCAGCGAGGTGCCTTCCCATCTCTTGCCTGCAGGCATTCACTTTGAGGTGAAGCGGGTGGAGCTCCAGGGCCCCTCGAGCCTATTCTGCTGCTGGCTGGTGAAGGACCTCCTGCACAGCCACCGAGACTCGGCCACCAGGACCCGCCTGCTGCTCGCCAGCCTGGCCAGCTCCACCCACTCCATGCCCGAGCCCCCAGGACCCAGCCTTGGGGAGGTTGGTATCAGACCGCTCGGGCCATGTCTCTGCCTGCCACTGTGTGCCAGCTCTTCCCACTGGCACTGCTGTCTGTGCCCGGATGGGAGTAGGGTCTGCTTCTGGGTTTGTGGCACTGCCTGCTAGGGTCCTGTGTGATTCTAAAGCAGATGTAGGACGCCAGATCTGCATGAGCACTGCGTGCACGGGGCCTGGGGCAGTGGTCCTCAGGCAGCTCCCATGGAAGGGAAGAAGGCATTGTGGGCGAGGGTGCTGCTCTGCTGGGGATGCGGTGACGCTGCCCGCCGTCCTCCGTTGTGTGTGACCACAGACCTTCCTTTGCATGTGCAGGTGCTCAGAGCCAAGACCAGGCCCGAGGAGGCCCCCTTACCTGTGGAGCTGGAGGGGCTGGCGGCCTGCGAGGGCGAGTACTCGCACAAGTACAGCACCCTGTGCCCGCTGGGCAGTGGGGCCTTCGGCTTCGTGTGGACCGCTATACACAAGGATCGAAACAAGGAGGTGCTGCGACTCCCAGAGGGAGCGACCCCTGCTGTGGGTCCCTGGCTCTCTGAGTCTGGGATTGTCCTGGGGGAGGGGCACTGAGGTCTCAGCCTGGCCCATGGCCGGTGTCTGGTTTTAAGGAGGGTGCTCCCAGCCGCCCCACCCACTGACATCCAGGCAAGGTCCTGTGACATCTTAGATTCAGACCTTGCTCCCACAGGCGCTTGAGCCCTGGCTGGGCTCATGTTGAGGCTCAGTTTGCCTCTCCTGTCCGCTCCGCTCTGAGTGCAGGGGTGTACTACTGTCCTGCTGCTCACATGGCCTGCCAATAGTTTATGGGCACCGAAAGCTTGCTTGTAAAGCTGAACTTAGATCTCCTCTGCTCACCTGGGAAAAAGTCCCCACTGAGCAAACAAAGCAGCAAACTAACCAACAGATCCTTCCCGTTCCCAGGGTGGCCTGTGTGTGGCCCATGCTTGCTGTGTGCTGGGGCCCTTCTGGATGTGCATTCCTCTCCCAGTGAGCCTCAGAGCTTACTGTCCTTCCCTCCAGAGTGCTGTTGGGATGTGTGCTCTTGGCATTCTGTGATCTGGGGGAACTGATGTCGCAGCAGGACTGGTTCCAGTTGCTTCTATCCTCCCATCCCTGATAGGTGGTGGTGAAGTTTATTAAGAAGGAGAAGGTTTTGGAGGAATGTTGGATTGAGGACCCCAAACTTGGAAAAGTCACTTTAGAGATTGCAATTCTGTCCAGTGTGGAGCATTCCAATATCATCAAGGTAGATGGTGATTTCCTGTGCAACTTTGTCCCTGTAAAATTTGCATAATTTGTGGATTGAAGATATTTCAGCAGAGCTGGGCTTGGGATTCTTTTTCCAGGTAGTGGATGTGTTTGAAAACCAAGGATTCTTCCAGCTGGTGATGGAGAAGCACGGCTCTGGCCTGGACCTCTTTGCTTTCATTGACCAACACCCCAGCCTGGACGAGCCCCTGGCCAGCTACATCTTCCGACAGGTGAGATGGGCTGGCATTGTGCTGGGCACATGTGGTCTTGGGAGACCAGACTGGTGGCTGCATGGGTCAGTAGTGCAGGCTCAGGTCTCTGTGAGTGGATTTAGCCTTCAGCTTTAGGATCTGACGGAGTAAGACATAGGCTCTGAGAAGAGAATTCTGTGGTTGAAGTAGAGAAAGTGAGGTTGGAGAGGAAGGAAGAAGCCAGCTACCATCCTGCAGTGAGCAAGAAAGTGTTTCTGGTGATTGAGGTTTATTTATAGACGTACAGGGGCTGTGTCAATTGCAAGTATTAATACGGTTGTCACACTGAGTTGTGAGCTCTGTGATTTTGATCTGAATTCTTGTCTCCATAGCCATGAGACCTGGGGGAAATCATTGCTGTCCCTCAGCCTCAATTTTTGGTCTGTGTAGTTGGATCACTGTGATACTACATGAAAAGGGTTAGGACTAACCAGAGTGCCCCTAAGACAGGCATATGGCGCAGTGTAAGTGCTGTTAATTAAGGAAGCAGCAAAGACGAGATTTCGGCAGTCTCTTCACAGTAAGTATTTGACTTATCTGTTTTGTATCTAACTATGTGCTGATCTATGTCCATTGATATTTTATTGGAATGGGAGAGTGATCAGTAGGACAGAAAGTCACCCTAGAAGAGGGAGGGTGGAAGGGAACAGTAGCTGTCACTTGAGTCATGAGGAGAGGGGGTGGTTCCACCCAGACTGCTCCTAGCTCCCTGGAAAGGGTGGAAGAAATACCAGAGAGGGGCTGTGTGAACAACACGGGTTTGCCCTTCCATTTTTTTTTCCTGTGAACGACTCATTCTTGGTGGCAAGTTCCATATGTGAACTTTTCTTCCCTCAAAGTTATAAACTTCCAGAAGTTAGTGGATTTTTGAAATTGAGTTTCTCAGGCATCTCCTTGTGCGTTTCAGGCTTCGTGGTTATGCCAGAAGAACGTCGCCTGTCTCCCTCTTCCTGTGTTGGAAGATTATGTATTTGCTTCAATTTGCGGCAGAGATTTGCGTGTGAAACCTTATGGTGCAGAGGGTCTGTGTGGTGACCTCTGGAGTCACGTGGGGGAAAGCTGGGCCCTCCCCACTATTAATTCTGGGCTGATGACACAGCGCCTTCTGGTGGTGTTTTTTGCAGTACTGAAGATTGAAGTCCTTTGCATGATGTACTTCCCCAACCCATTTTATTCTTTCTGTTTTGAGACAGGGTCTCACTAAGTTGTCAAGTTGCCCCGGCTGGGTTTGAATTTGTAATCCTCCTGTCTCAGCCTCCGCAGGTGCTAGGACTACAGGCGTGCACCACCATGCCCCATTTATGATGTTTTATTTGTTAAAATTTTTGTTAAAAGTTTCTGTGGCCCCTGTGCAAATACATATACATACATGTGTTGTTACATGTAAATAGAGCCCTGTAATTTTACATATGTGCACATGCACAGCACTGGTGATCAGCAGAGCGGCTCTCAGCCCCTGGTCTGTCAGCTGCTCAGCAATGGGCTGGGGCTTGTGAACGGATCTGCCAGGCAGCTCTGAGGGTGCAGGCCAGGGCGGGGCCTGCAGGAGGGATGGCTTCTCTTCCGAGCCGGGCACCAGTCAGCACAACTCGCTGAGATTCCCCGTGTGGCAACTGTAGTGTGGTTTCTGTCTCCTGCCTGGCTCTGCTACGAATGTGTCTATGTATGTGTGTATGTGTGTTTAGTGTATCTATGTCTGAATATGCACCTACACACATGTGTATGGAGGCAAAAGTACATGTGTGCACACGTACATGTGTGTGCAAATGTAGACGTGGATAGACAGTTTTTTATGTATGTGTATGTAAATATTCCTTTTTTAGTTAAATGTCAGTCAGTTGGTTGGGCCTAGTTCTCCTGCCATTAACCATTGCTTCTGATTCATTTGTAAGTATAAAGTCACCTCAAAGATCAAACTGACTGACTGATCTGAGGTCGCGAGGTTAAGAGTCCAGGTGTTGTCCCCCCCCCCCCCCCCCCCCCCCTTGCTCGGGGACAAGGCTGACCTGGTGGACCCCGGCCCCAGAGATGCAGAGCAGCAGGCAGACAGGCATGCGGGCGAGTGGCATGCCCCCTGGCTTGCGGAGAGGAGCCTGTTCCAGAGCTTGCTTTACTCCTTAGCGGTCAATCTGCTTGCTGCGGAAGGACGGCAGGCACTGCATGCACTGAAGCCATGCCGCCCCCAGCTGCTGCCTACACTCTGTGCTTGCCCCTGTACGTCTGTCCACACCAGCCCACTGATCGCACGTGTTTCTCAGCGTCTGCTTCGTGGCCTGTCTGGTTTTTCTCCTGTGATGCTTGGAATCACATCTCCACATCCAGACTTAGGCACTGGGAAATGTCTATTTTTCTTTGTTTTCTCATCGATGTTTCTTTTAAGCGTTGTCTTACTGAACTACTCTTTGAAAAGCCCCTTCTGGCTCTGGTTCCAGCTGGTGTCGGCAGTCGGGTACCTGCACTCACAAGGCATCATTCATCGGGACATCAAGGACGAGAACATCGTGATCGCTGAGGACTTCACAATCAAGCTGATAGACTTTGGCTCAGCTGCCTACTTGGAAAGGGGCAAATTATTTCACACTTTCTGTGGCACAATCGAGTACTGCGCCCCCGAAGTGCTCATGGGGAACCCGTATGTACCACATGTTCCCTGCCTGTCCTTGCCTCTCCTGCTCGCCCAGTTGGTTTGATTCTGGCGCAAGATAGCTTCAGTTTGTGCCTCTTTGTGTCAGATGTTGAGCGATAAGGGTAATGCTTTGGAGAAAAGCAGAGTAACAGGAAAAGTAAGATTGGTCCCGGGAAGCCAGGCAGCAGACACTGGGTTCATTCTATTAGTCTCTCAACCTTTGTGTATGTTCGCAGTTTGCTATAACAGAGAGTTAGGAACATGTGATGGTAAAGATGAGGTGAGGAAGAGACTTCCCGAACTGGTTCATTGATTCTGATGACAGGAGTGTGCAGGGTGTCTCCGTGCGGGTCTCAGCTCTCAGGGACCCTCTCAGTGACAGGGAGGGTGGGATGTGAGCCAGCCCAGATGAGGGCCCTTCATCTTGGAGCCAGGAAATGCGGCTGCAGTGTGTGGGCTCCCAGGGTCCGGGAGGCCCCTGTGAGCAGCTCCTGGACTCTGCCAGCTGCAGAGCTTGGGGGAGGCCAGTGGACTCTCCCTCTGGGACCCCAGAGGTGTTGGGGTGGCTTCAGGAGGCCTCGGGGCTCCTCCTCAGGTCCGGCGTGGTTCCCCTGGCACCCAGCGAGTGTACATGGCTCTGCCCTGTTCTGCAGTGGCTGCCTTGTCCTCGGTGTGGGAGGGCAGCCGCGTCCACTGCCTGCTGGCCCATGACGAGTGCTTCCTGGCCAGTCCCGCTGCCCACTGCCTGGTTGCCAGCAGCTCAGGGCTGCTCAGTGGCCTCTCCCCACCTGGCCTGTTCCCCAGACCTGCCCTGCTCTGTGGGTCCTCGTCCCTCCCTTCAGCAGTGCAGCTGTCTGCCCTGTGCGGGCCTCTGTGCCACAGGCTTGTCTTATGAGCCCCTGTGTCTCCCTGTCCTCTCCCCACCTCACTGGGCACAGGGCTTTCTTACAGGAACTTTTGTTGTTTGGTTTTCCTGAGAAGGGATCTTATTATATTGCCCAGGCTGGGCTCTTACATTGAGATCTTCCCGCTTCAGCCTTGGGAGTATCTGGGGTTACAGGTGCGTGCCACCTCACCCAGCTGGGCAGAAGGCTTTCGGAGCTCTGATCTTGGTTCCAGTTGCCACGCTGAGCCCCATTCCTTGTGGGGTTTTTTGTGGGTTGAACCCAGGGCCTTACTTCAGGGTGCATCCCCAGCCCATTTTTACTTGTTTGAGACAAGGGCCACTAAATTGATAAATTGAAAACTCTGGCCCTTGGCCAAATCAGCCTGCCCCTCAGCGTTAACTTTTGCTGTGGTCACAGACATAACGTGCAGTTTACCTTGACCTCTGAAGTAGGCAACTGAGCAGCACGAAGTACACCCGACGACCACCTTCTACTGTGCTGTCTTTTTTTCATTACTGGGGTTGAGCTCAGGGCCTTTGCACTGAGCTACATCCTTACCCCTTTTTATTTTTTGAGACAGAGTCTGGCTAAGTTCTGTATATCGGGCTTAAATTTGTGACCCTCCTGCCTCAGCCTCCCAGAGTGCTGGGCTTACCTGTGTGGCACCACACCTGACTCTTGTTTCTGGGACTCGGACAGCTCTAGGCCCCTCATGTAAGTGGACTCTCATGGCATTGTCTTTGGACTGGCTTCTTTCATGGAGTGTGGTGTCCTTGGGCTTCACCCGTGTTGCACGGTGGGTCAGAGTCCCCTCCTCCTAAGGCCCCACCCCTTGCATGTTCTGGTCCCGCTCTTGTTAGGGCTGTTGGTGGACTCTGGGCCTGCTGCCCAGCTGGCTGCTATGACCAAGGCATGTGTGCTTGTTTGCTTTCTTCCTGTGCAAGGCTGCTTTGTGCCACCACGGCAGAGCTGAGTAGTTGGCATGGACCACATGGCCCACAGGCCTAAACTTACATTACCTATCCCCTTGTGGAAAGAGCTCCCGACCCCCGTTCTGCTCCATTGGATCTTTCTCTATAAACCAGAAATGATAGAGACACAGGCTATCTGACTTGATTTTCTTGCTCCAGCTCCTATAATTTCTTGCTCTTCCTTGTCCCTGTGCTGACCTGGGCCTGTGGTGCTTGGGCCCCCCCACCCCCTCCTCCACGTGGAGCCCCCTGCCTGCCTGACTTCAGCCTCCTGATGGCTCCGGCTCCCCACAGAGGGCTGAGTCCCGCACCCTTCTCAGTGCTATGGCTGCTGTGGGCTCCTGTTAGACACTGGGGCTCTGGCAAGCAGCCATTGCTTCCCACATGGTTCTTCGGTCAGGTCAGGCTCCTCCGAGCACCAGACCCTGAGACTCAGCACCCTGGCAGCCCTGAGTTCGGTCACCCAGCTCCAGGTCCCTGGCCCCACATTGGGGTGCTACTGTAGCTGGTTTACCCCCAGGCCTTACTCTGGGACCCAGAGCTGCTACTTTGTTCTCCTAGACCCAGAGGGCGAATGAGGATGAATAATAGAGACGTGGGATCAGCTCAACGTGTGGACAGCCAGGGACCTCATACCTCTAGCAGGCAGAGGAGCCCCGAGCCCGTGGCTCACCTCGCTTTTATTCACCCAAACGCAGGCACAAGCAATCAAAGTAACACAGGATCCATCTGGTTTCCGATATCATTAGTACAGTCGCTGGTAAACAACTTAAACTCAGCTGTCTTAGCTTTTCCCTAATATGCAATCACCCCTGAGTGCAGCTTTTCTCCTTTGTGCTCACAGAGGAGACCAATTAGGCCTCAGATCTCCTCTGGTCCTCAACACCACTTAACAGCTCCTCCCGCTCCCCAAGCCGCCTGCTCTTCTGTGCAGAGTGATGATGTTCATCTTGCTCCGTGTAAGGATGGGTCTTATACTGCCCAAAATGCTAGGTAGAGCTGGTGCATGGGTGAGGGTTCCGAGGTCAGGAAGTAACCACCACAGCCCTGTCTTCTCCCGGGCCTTGTGCTTCAGTGGCCACTCCCACCGACCTGGTCATTCCTTTTCTGTTCCTTGGCCATGGCTGCACTCTGTCCTGCTGAGTTTCTTCTGCTCCAGTCACACCCTGTCCCATGCTGCCCGTGGTTCCCGGGGCTTCCAGGCAGGGAGGCTTAGTGACTTGCTGTCCCTGCTCTGCGCACCTCCTGCAGGAAGCCTGACCCCCCCACCCCCATCAGAGGGTCCCTGAGGCGCCAAGCCTGCTGCCCCAGGTGGCTCCGAGTGGACTTTGAGGTCACCAGTCCATTGGGACCACGTGGCTGGCTGGGGGGGCCCAGTGTCACTGTGAGGCTCTGAAATGTCCTTTCCTCCTCAACAGTTACAGAGGGCCGGAGCTGGAGATGTGGTCTCTGGGTGTCACACTGTATACGCTGATCTTCCAGGAGAACCCCTTCTGTGAGGTGGAGGAGACCGTGCAGGCCACCATCCACCCCCCGTACCTGGTGTCCCAGGGTGAGCCCCATGCACAGGTGGCGCTTGGATTCCACTGACCTGAGA